TTGAGGAAAGCAGTTTGTCGTAGGATGAATCCTGCCCATGAACCCGGTAGTGCCATCTGATGGCGCGGTCTTTGCAACCCTGGGAACCATGACGAGCATAGAAGTTAAAGGACAATAGAGCTTCATGGTAAAAGCTGCTTGTCATGTGATAAATCAGGGAAAGATTGATATCAGGTAAGGAAATTATGTCAACTCTGAACCCTGCAGGTGTGGAGAAACGAGTAAGGAGAGGATGTAACGATAGCTTTGATCCTACTGTACATTTATTATCATGGGAAAGTGTTTCCTGTGTCAGGATAAATCGTTTGAGGGGACAGATCAGTGGAGGATGGCCACATGGGCAGGTGATTTCAAATCACACCCAAGGGGCGCCTGGTGGCTGTCGTTAAGCGTCTGCCTTTGGCTCAGGTCATGGTCCCAGGGTCCTGGGATCAAGCCCCGCATCGGGCTCCTGCTCTGCGGGAAGCCTGCTTCTCCCTCTCCCACTCCCTCTGCTTGCGTTCTTTCTCTCACTGTGTCTCTCTTTGTCAAATAAATAAATAAAATCTTTAAAAAAAACTAAAATCACAGCCAATATTGGGCTTTATCTGACAAAAGCAATTATATCTCACAGACAAGAAATTGGAGAAATGCAAGATCAGCTACAGAAGGCAGAGCTCAACTTCAAACTCAAGGTAACCTAGGTCCTGCCCCTACATACTGGCCCCTTCGTGCCTCCTGCAGGTGATGGAAGTGTCCCTTAGATCCCTGAACATGGGCTCTTGGTGAATTCATTTTTCAGGTCTCAGCTCATGAGAGAATCGCTCTAGATAATTGGGTAAGTGTTTTCTTTTTCTTCCACTTTGTTTGGGGCACAGTCCGGCACAACTGAGGGTTGATGTGTTTTCCTGGCCAGGTGAAGGCTCGGTTTTGGGAGAGGAAGATAGTGCAGCATAGCAGGGAGAACACCTACATGGAACACAGGTGTGCGAGTTTGACGTGCCTTTGTAAGGGTGTCTTGAGGGGTCAAGGCTAAGCTGTTTAGTGTCTGGTAGTAGACATGATGTTCTAATTCTTATAGACGTCCATTCTTTTTCTGTATTCAAGACTGCACATGATGAGGAGAGACACGCCTCCTGAGGGATCCATGAGGCAGGAACCGATGCCGGGAAGATCCGAGATATGGAACCGTGTGCAGAGAGGTAGGGAGCAAGCTGTGAATTGCAGCAGCCTGATTTCTGCTGGGAAAGCACTTGATGTCCTCCCTCTTCTTGTGGGTGATCGTTGTGTGTCCTAGAGGGAATCACAGGCACTACCTAAGTACAGCAGGTTGTCTGAAAGCGTGACGGGAGGGTGCTTTCCTCAGGTGCCTACTGGTAGCAGGGTACCTGTCCCTGTGACAGGTGGAGATCACACCCCTCCCCTGACTGCAGATCCCCACCCCCACCCCCTCCACCATCCCCCTACTGAAGAGCTGAGCCTGGAGGAGTTGTGAGCCTGAGCTCCCTTCCCACCTTGACGCAATGGTGAAGCAATTTGAAAAAAAAAATAAGACTGTTTGAGAAAAATGACATTTACCCCTTATGGAGATTCTCTTTTTTTTTTGTTTTGTTTTATTTGTAATCTACAGTACTATATTCATCAATGAAATTCGTGCATTTTACTCCTCTAATGTTATCGGAATAATGCCACAGCTTTACTTCTCAATCCGCCTGTTTTTTTCTTTGCTCCTGACTGTACGATTAGTCTACTCCAATTCTTCTCTTCAATATTTACGTAATAGCCAGAAACACATGCTACGCCTCATCTAGAGACCGAAAGATTGCACCATTAACTGGCGGCCTGAGGAAAGAATGTATGCCGTCCGTGTTGCGTGTTTTTTGATATCACCCACTCAAGGCTATTCTCACTTAGATTTTTAATCTATGAAGAAAATGTGATTTTTTTGGATTTGTATTCAGCACCCCAATTTCAGTATTAATTTCCAGCCAGTTGTACCCCAATCTGTCCACTGTTGATTGATTACTTATGGAAACACTGGAACCAGGGTCCTGGAGTGTCTCCCGCAAGAGTCAGGTGACTGGTATCTCTCTTAGCAAAGAAGTCGCTTGAATCATGTGGAGAAACCCTCTCTTCAGATCAGGGACCCGAGTGTGGGAAAGAGTGTGAGATGGAGGAGTAAGGCACAGAGGGTATGCAAACCACAATAAACCTCCATCCTTTGTCCCATCCAGAATCTAGACCGGTTCCCAGGATGAACAGCAGCACCAGCCCGAAAAAGGCCCCAGAGTTGGCTACGGTAAATGCTATGGGCGTTTTCAGTAGTGCCTGTTTCTGGAAGTTATTCTTGTAGGGACAGCACCCTGTCTTGGCCTTGTGGCTTTTGGGTGTGTTCTGTGATCTATCTGAGGCATCCTTCCCCTTTCAGAATACAAGCTGTTTACCCAGGAGCCTCCAGGCTTCCCCATTAGAGATCCTCAGCTTACGTGCTTCCTCCCAAAGTTGTAGATGCTTAGAGGCAAATGATGGCAGGATGGTCACCCCAAATTTGTGTGTGTGTGTGTGTGTGTGTGTGTGTAAACCCCTGGAGGTGGGCAACATCTCACTCCACACTGAAGTTGGCCAGTCCCGCTGACTCCTTGCAGTTTGCTTTCCCGCGGGAGCAGTAGTGGTGTTGGTTTTTGGGTCAGGAGACTGACTTGGGAGAATGTCTGCGGTAATCGTCACAGCTGGCAGTGGGAAAAGCCATGCCTTGCCTCACACTCTGTACCATGTGCTTTGGGCAGCTGTGAGTGTTGTTGGAGAAGGTGAGCTGCGACCTCATGTGCGTATCATCTGTGTGGGTAAAGACATGACCCATAATCCCTCCAGTTGCACCCTGGGTGAGATGAAGGTGAACTCTGCCAGGTGCCAGGTTCCAGGTGTGTGGTGGAAAATACCCCCGGAGCACAGCGGTCAAGAGGGAATCCCAATGACTCCTTGCAGGGCCCACACCTCACACATGTTTCAGCTGTGCTCCTGTGAGCGGGTTCTGATGCGGTTTGGTGGCTGTGCCAACTGATAGCGTCTCTCCTGATCCATCCTGGGAGGGTCACACCTGCTATGCAGACACATTGGTTTGCATCCGGGGATGCAGAATTGGCCCTGCAGTTGTTCTTGGCACCAAAGACGATGCATTTGCTCTCTGGCTGAGCTGAGGAGCATCGGAATGTCGGTGATGCAGATCCACAGAGCTGGGTCTCACTAATTCATAGGGATCGTGCACCACTCAGCACTTTTCCAGGTCCGCTGCTGAACTGCAGAAATTCCTGTCTCCTGAGCAGTGTCTGTGGCCATGGACACACTTGGGATAATAGAAGTCTCCTTTGTCATGAGGGAATCGGTGCGGGATCAGGCAGGGGCTGGTGGGCAGCAGTTGGACCCATGATGTGCTGATCTTCCATCTTGGACACTGGGCTTCCCATTGCCCCTCATTTTGTCTGTGCTCAGTATACAGAAGGAGATTCTTTAGTTGTCACGGCGGGTAAAGTGTGGTCCTGGACGTTGATGCCAGCCCATCTTTAATAGACCCTTTTATTAGCTTGGTATTAACTCTGCCAAGCCTTTGAGGCAGATTCCGTGCCTCTGTAGAGTTGCAGACATATGTTAACATGTGGTGACAGTAGTTTATCCCCATGGCATCTGTTCACCCCAGGCCATAGGTGGGACGCAGGAGATAGGTCACTTCTGGCACAGATGTTCCTGTCCTGGAATGTGGTAGTGGGGAATGTTTCAGGTGCTGAGACCTGTTTCTTTGGGTTTCAGCTTTTGTTGGTGGTGTTACTTTTGTGTCTCATCTCAGCCTATAGTTTATTTTGTGTGTGTATGTCTGTATGGATGCACAGGTGCTTTGTCATTTCCTAATACCACCCTGCGGGCTTTGCCCCGGGGATCCTACCTCATCTATATTCCTGTACTATGGGCCACGTTCACAGCCTGCACCCTGCTGGCCTCA